CAATGGGATCATGTATCGGCATCCGTATCCAGAATATTTTGATAGAGTTCCATTGCCAAGCCGATACAAGACCCCAGATTTCTCAAAGTTCTCAGGACAAGATAATGTTACTACATATGAGCATATCAGCCGATTTCTTGCACAAAGTGGTGAAGCATCGGCTATTGAAGCTTTGAGAGTTAGGTTTTTCCCTTTGTCCTTGTCAGGATCAGCATTTACTTGGTTTTTGTCATTACCATATATTTCTATGAAGTGTTGGGCTGATCTAGAAAAATAATTTCACAAGTACTTCTCCAGCGGTGCTCAAGAGATGAAGTTATCATATTTGACAGCAATTCGGCAAAAGTCTGATGAATCGGTTCCATATTATATTCAGAGATTTAGAGATGTGATGAACAGATACTTCAGTTTAAATTTGACCGATTCACAGGTAACCGATTTGGCTTTCCAAGGATTGACTGGGCCGATAAGAGAGAAATTTTCATTACAAGACTTTGAGAGCTTATCACATTTGGCTTAGAAGGTATCGGCTCATGAGCAATGTTTCCAAGAGGCCAAGAAGTTCAAGAAAGTTAACTATGTCTACAATTATGTTTCTGATTCTGAAGAGGAAGACTCGGAGATCAGTTTGGCTGAGTGGCCCAAGATTAAGAAGAAAACTATGTGTCGATGGGTCAAGGATATAAACAAGGAAGAGAAATATGACTTTGATATCAATAAAGCCGACAAGATCTTTGATTTACTGTTGCAAGAAAAGCAAATTCAGTTGCCAGTAGGTCACGTTCTGCCATCGGCTGAAGAGCTGAAGAAGAGGAAGTTTTGCAAGTGGCACAATATAGTATCTCATCATACCAATGAGTGCAAAGTGTTCAGGTAGCAGACCCAATCGCCTATCAAACAAGGAAGAATCAAGTTTGATGATGGAAAAAGGCCGATGAAGATTGATGAACATCCTTTTCCTGTAAATGTGGTGCATGCCACGATTGACAGCAGAAGATTGATCAACAAGTACCAGAAGAGGCATGACATCAAGTTCAGAGGAATTTTCAGAATTGTAGTCATCACCAAGATGATATATATTATCAAGATGACCAAGATGAAGAATATTATCAAGGTGATAAGTTTAATCATCATTGAAGTTGTGAGTTCTTCAGGTTTTGTTGGAACGATGGAATGAGGTTGCCATCAATCAACAATTGCCCTGGGTGTGGTGGATCGAATTCTTACAATCAGTCTTCCCAGGGTAACAGTCTTAAATCACATAGGAATCGGCCAGAACCCAGGAGATCAGTTCATTGAAGATTGGGCCGATTCGTCAAGATCATATGGAAGATCAAGTTGAAAATGACGAAGTTGATCAAGCTTAGAACCCTCGATGGTGTCCAACTAGAATTTTTACAAGGAGTCAGAAAAGGAGAGTTCAGAGATTGAGAAATAGAGAGCAGATACAGGAAGTTAATGAGAAAATCGATCATCGGCTGAAACGTACAAGGAAAGAGTGGCGAGTTGAATCAAAGATTGTGATAGCCAATGAGGTTGAAAACGATAAGGAAAGGAATAGAATTTCAACATCTGCCGAGGGAAAAGCAATTGCTTCAACTTCGATCAATATGGTATTTATGTTGCCTACCGAATACAGCATACACACGGCCGATAAAGGAGAAATCGAACCATCGACTGAGTTAAAATTAATATCAGAACAAGCCGTGTTTGAGAAGCCTTAAAAATAACAACATTGACATTTGAAGCCACTTTATATCAAAGGTTATGTCAATGGCAAGCCGATGTCTAAGATGCTAGTCGATGGAGGTGTTGATGTCAATTTGATGCCTTATACTACTTTCAGAAAGTTTGGCCGGTTTGAAAGAGATTTGATCAAGACAAATATTGTATTGAAGATCTTTGGGGGCAATTCTTCTGAAACCATGGGAGTTTTAAACGTTGAGTTGATAGTAGGTAGCAAGACAATTCCTACCACATTCTTTGTAATTGATGGAAAGGGTTCTAATAGTTTGTTGTTGGGAAGAGATTGGATTCATGCTAATTGTTGCATCCCTTCACCAATGCATCAATGTTTGATTCAATGGCAAGGAGACCAGGTTGAAATCGTGCAAGCCGATAAGTCAGTTTAAGTGGCTAGTGCTGATTTAAATATTTGGGAAATGGAAGGGATTGATTGTTTATCTTGAAAAGTTTGGAAAACAGAGTTTCTTAAGATTACGGATGGTGATATATTGCCTATTGGAGTCGATGAGCCCAAGCTTGTATTCTCAAAGATGGAATATCATGTTGACCGAGAAGTTTGGATTTAAGTATAAGGCCGGCATGTTTCTAAGTTGTTTTCGAGGATTTCAAACCTAGGTATCGGTCCTCAAAGCTATCTTTCTCAATATGTAGTATGTTTCTGATGGAATCGATCACTATTGGGGAAGAAGCATCATCAAACATAATTGAACATGTTGCCAGATTGATGAGTTGTCCTGTGCCCAGAGCGTAATCATGGAGAACTTCCTTGACAACTTCTGCCTCCTTGGTATCAGCTTTAAAAATCCAGTGTGTCATCCGTGAATAACAGATGAGATATACCGGGTGTGTTGCGACAATTTTTTAATGAAGATAATTCATTCTGCTCCACCTTTTCCTTTAAAAGAAGGGATAATCCATCAGCCACAAACAAGAATAGAAAGGGGGACAAAGGATCTCCTTGTATTAAGCCCCTACTTGGAGTGAATGATCGGAGAAGGGTTCCATTGAATTTTACGGAATACCTCACCGTGGTCACACATGCCATAATCCAGCTGACCCATCGGTGAGCAAAACCCATTCTAACCGGTGAGCATCCCCAGATCTGCGGGGGATGGGGGGGGGAGGGAGGGGGGTCGCCGGACGCCTCCTCCGCCGGCCTCCTCGTGGGGGATCTAGCGCCGGCGATGACGGAGGGAGGAGGGGGCACCGCCGGCCTCCACGCACGCCCGCACTCCAGGTCGAGCTCCCCCTCCGCCGTCGAGCCCGCTACCGCTCCCGCCCGCCGCCGCCACTGCCTGCCCCGCGCCGCTCTGCTCTCGGTGAAAGTGAGTGAAAGAGAGAGGAAGTGAAAGAGAGAGAGAGAGAAAGTGAGTGAGTGAGAGAGAGAGGACTGAGGGGATAATATTAGTAAGTGAGAGAGAGGACTGAGAGGTTGGGGGTGAAAATTTTAAATTGGTTGAGAGGGAAGTAGGACGGCAATCTGACTTCAAGGCCGATCCTTAAGAGAACCGCATGCAAAAATCGATTTTTTACATGCGGGTCTCTTAAGAGGACCGCATGTAAAAATGAGGGAGCATTTTTACGTGTGGACCACTTAAGCATCTGCATGCAAAAATCGATTTTTTTACATGTGGCTTTTTAAACTTTAAGTCGATTTTTATGGTACTAAATCAACTCATATTGTCAAAATCAAAATTGTAGAACTCATTGAGATGTACCATTTTTCTTTTGTTCATTTCTCCATCCGAGTTTGATTGACTATATAAAATTTGAATTTCAAAATATAAGAAATTTAAATAATTTTTGGTATCAAATGATTTCAAATAGAAAAGTCATCAATAACAAAGTTGTATAACTTATCAAGATCTTCAACTTTTGTTTTGGTCATTTTCTATATGACTTTATTTGAACAGTTTGAATTTAATTTCAAATTATGACAACTTCCAACAATATTTTCAAATACTAAATGATTTTAATTAAAAAAGTCATCAACAACAAAGTTATATAACTCATCAGGATCTATAAGTTCTATTTTGATCATTTCTTCGTCCGACAAAGTGATTTGTAAGATTGTTCACAAAATGTACATATCCCTTATATAGTTTCATAAACTATAAAAGAGATGTAAATTTTGTAAAAATGTTACTATCACTTTGTCTGATGAAGAAATGACCAAAGTAAAAGTTATAGATCTTGATGAGTTACACAACTTTGTTGTTGATGACTTTTTCAACTGAAATCATTTACTGCTTCAAAATATTATTTGAAATTTAGAAATTCAAATTTTTAATTGATAAAACAAAGTCACAAGAAAAAATGGTCAAAATAATAGCACTAAGAACACAATAATATGATAGAGCATGATTTTAGAAACATTTAGGAAAAAAAATCATCCAATTTAGTGTTCATATGAGTGAGACACACTGCTTGAAATTTTTCGTATTTTATTTTCTCATACGGCTCCTTGAAACGCCCGCATGGAAAAATCGATTTTTCCATGCGGGCGTTTAAGTGAGCCGTATGCAAAAATGAGCGGACCTCTTAAGAGGCTCGTATGGGAAAATCGATTTTTCCATATGGGCGTCTTAAAGGAGCCGTCTATGAAAATGCAGCTCGATTTTTTGCAGACGCCACTAGTTATGGTCAATTTGTAAAAATCAAGGGGTTTCGTATAGAAAAATCACTTTTGTAGTAGTGTAATTTGAATAGTTGGAAGTACTGTAATACAGTACAATCATACTTTTTTTAATGAAGATGAAGTTTACATGGGTCCAAAATGCGTGTAACGAAAATAACCCTCTAATGAACGAATTATCAACTAATTTAAATTTGAGAAAAAAATTGAACATTGTTTTTGAAAAAGCTGTGGAGTCAGCTGGTGGCCCTTCACCGCGCACACGTACAGTTTAGGTTTGATCATTTCTTCGTCCGACAAAAATGAGCGGACCTCTTAAGAGGCTCGTATGGGAAAATCGATTTTTCCATATGGGCGTCTTAAAGGAGCCGTCTGTGAAAATGCAGCTCGATTTTTTGCAGACGCCACTAGTTATGGTCAATTTGTAAAAATCAAGGGGTTTCGTATAGAAAAATCACTTTTGTAGTAGTGTAATTTGAATAGTTGGAAGTACTGTAATACAGTACAATCATACTTTTTTTAATGAAGATGAAGTTTACATGGGTCCAAAATGCGTGTAACGAAAATAACCCTCTAATGAACGAATTATCAACTAATTTAAATTTGAGAAAAAAATTGAACATTGTTTTTGAAAAAGCTGTGGAGTCAGCTGGTGGCCCTTCACCGCGCACACGTACAGTTTAAGTTTCATTTCCCGCTGGCGCCTGCCGCTGCAGTCGCCGACGACGGCGACATGGCCACCGGCCGCACTTGGAGCCCTCCTCCAGGCCTCTCCTCTACCACGTAGGGCATATGCGTCCCTAACACCTTGTCCCACGTCACGAAGAACGGCTGCGAGAAGTTGTACCGGCCGCCGCGGCGCTGATGGTGCACGTCGTGGTAGGCGGCGTTGTTCCGGAACACGCGCTGGAGCGGGCTCGCCGCCGGCAGCCACAGGCCGCAGTGGTCGTCGACGCCCTTCGCCGTGCACAGCGAGAAGAAGACGACGGAGGCGCGCGGCGACATGCCGGAGGCGAGGAAGGCGACGGCGCCGCCGACGGTGTCGAGGAGGAGGCCCTCGGCGGGGTGGTTGTACTGCGCGCCGAACGCGTAGGGCGCCACGAGGCGGTGGTGCCACGAGTGGACGCGCCGGTACAGAAACCGGTTGGTGTGCATCCACCGGTGCCACGCGTACTGCCACCCGTCGAGCACCACCATGCCCACCGCGAACCGCGCCGCCACCGCCAGCCACGACGACGGCGACGCCGTCGTCGCCGTCGTCGTTCTCCTCTCGCCGGCGAGCTGCACCATGCAATGCGAGGACATGTATGAACACAAGAGACGGAATTAAGCTAAGCATTGCTTGAAATGCCATGTGCAATGTCGTGGTCTGACCGTGAATGTGGCGGCGGCGACGGCGGCCTGGACGAGCTGCTGGAGGAGGACGCCCATGACGACGTCGCGCTTGGAGACCAAGTTCTTGGCATCCTCCTCCTCCTTGGAATGCAGCCGATACTTGTCCATGGAGATGGAGTGGCCGAGCGCCATGTACAAGCCAGAGTAGAGCCAGTACACCACGATGGGAACAACGATGGCCAACGCTTCATCCGACAAGGGATCCATGTGATCGAATCGTGCGTATGATGATACGTACTACGTAGCTGCTTCAATAACACACTATAGCTGGATTAATTACTGGAGTATGTGTGATCAATCTAGCTAGCTAGCTAGCTCGATGCCTCGATCTGTGTGCATGGAATTAACTAACGGGTGGACTATATATATATAGGTAGTCCTGTTGTCCTGATGTTTACATAATGACGTGGGATGGTCAAGATTGTTAATAGTTAGACAACCTTGAACAAGTATCTGTATGAATCAGAGGTTATGTAAGAAGCTAGATCCGTATCCGTATTAATAATAGTCGTTCAATCTTGGCGTTCCATGGACGTATACGCGTGGAAATAACGTGTGTCCATAACAGTCGGGGATTGATTGTTTCCAAGAACTACCAGACAAGTTTTACTCTCCCGTTTGGCCGTTTCTCCAATCATTTTGCAGTCCATTTTTGGTTAATTTGGTCGACATAAACAGCTCTATACACGAGTCATTAATCTAGCTGGGAAAAGAGTTCTATAGTTCGGCCATTTCATTGTAAAGAAACGTGAGTCATAAAATGTGTATCATATATAATCCCTTAAAATATCTCGGTGGTAAGAATCATAATCCCTTCTGCCCCTCCGCTTTCTCTCTCCCCCAATCAGCGGTGACATCCCTCTCCCCCTCCCCTTCCTATCTCGATAGCATGGTGCATCAGCTGTACGTTTCGTGGCACGGAGCGACGACGGCGAGGGTATAGCACGAAAGTTGTTTGCTTGGCACGGCGCAACGACAGCGGGGGCACGACCGAAGCTGTTTCGTCGGGGCGCGGTGCAGCGACGGCAGGGGTACAGTGTGGTGACAACGATGACGGTGTGGCAACAACCTTCCCTCCCCATCTTCCTCTCCCTATCGGCCTCAGCAGCAGGGAAATGGGCTCGAGGACGACGACGGTGGATCCAGGAGGATGATGGCAGCGATGGTACGTTGTTGGCGAGTTCGGTTCGACTCGAGCTAGCTTTATTTTTTTCTTCTCGTGCAAAGCTAAAGATGTCGGTTCTATTTTCCTCATAGGTGTTGGTTGCTGGTATTGGTACCGATAAATTGGTACCGGATGAACGATCCTTTACGAACCGGCACATATGGCATCTTCTGTAGTAGTGTTAGGATGTTAGGTGCCTTCTGATCTAGTCCATTCATCTTCTTTAAAATTCATGCGGTTTTTAATAAGGGGTATTAAAGCACATCTTACATAGTAAAACTATTTTTATTCGGCGAATAGTAGGAGTACACACGTACACAGGATAATCTTTTTTTTTGGCATTTTTGCCCAGCGAACAGTACTATGTATTTATACGTACATGGGACATTTTTTTTCCCGGTTTGTTAAGTGTTATTTTCCTAATAGATATGATCTAATGGTATAAAAAAATGGTCTATCGATTTAAAGTAAAAATCAAGGGTCGAATGTTTTGTATTTTTCTCGGAGTATTTAGGATCTCCTATTATAATTACATAATTTTTATACTAAAATGAATGATTAAATATATGCTCAAATATCAATAGCATAAAAAATCTTAGGTGAGACAAATGTATTGTAGGGTATTCAAGATAAAACTAAATAAAGAAAAGGTTAAATGGAGAGTAAAAAAAGTGGGGCACATATACGTTACATGCATACGAACGGAATAAGAAAGGCGTATGTACACGCGGGTGAGATGAGAGGGAGGAATAACTTCTTTTTTATTATAACCTAATGGTCTAAAATAATAATAGACCACCTATTTAAGTAAAAATCGAGGGCTAAATGTTACCTCCATATGGTGGTATAGGAGCATTTTTAGAAGTCTCATGTGATGGCTAAAGAGCATTTCTAGGAATTTTAATGTTTTCTTAGTATATTATAGATAAGTATATTGAAAGTATGTGTTGTCGAATAGACAACTGCGTCACGTCGAAAGACGTGGTTCTCTCAACAGTGGATGGGAAATAAAAGAACAATTGTATTACTTTGACCAAATTTTTTGGGATCCCCCTATTACATGGCCCTAGGGGGCTATTTATAGCCCCATTATAGGTTCCCACTATTAGGGTTTAGATTATACATGGGAATTTACATGGTTACGTTTTTGATAGGGACATTATTGAGGGCATACTGTATCCTTTACACACACGGGTCCCTACTGGGCTTAAATGGCTCGGCCCATATATCTGGCGAAATCCCTTGAGGATGTAGCGGCCACTAGGCCTCCCGACAACGAGGTTCGGTACTTTAGCGAAACTCGTGCCGGGTGTGCCCAGGCTTTCGCCGCATCATCTTCGGCCGTGCAGCCTTCTGGCAAGGACTCCACTCGGCGAAGCTAGTGTAACCCAAGCCATGGCATTCGCCCATATGGCTTTATTCTCAACCTTCGCTGCCTGCCTTCGGAGTGAGCTTGTTGCCTGAGTTTTCGGTTTCGGCAGGTTCGGCTGAAGGCCCTCCGTGGTAAGCCTCCAACAGTATGGTTCAAACATACATATGAATTGAATTTATAATTTAAAAGCTACAATTGTTAAAAGATTGTCTACTCCCTTCGTCCCAAAATATAAACATCTTGGACTTTGACACGGTCTCTGAGATGCTATTTTGACCAACAATATCTATAAAAATAAGATGTTTTAATTACAAAGAGTTTCATATTATGATAGTTTGTTTAATAATAAATCTACTAACATCAATTTTACATGGTTAATATTTTTTTTGTTATTAATAGTCAAACTTAAAAATATTTAACCTGTCATTATGCTAAAAATGCTTATACTAAAAATGCTTATATTTTGAGATGGATGGAGTATTTATTTGTAAAACCCACCAAGGTCATGCAGCCCTTGAAGTGCACAATGAGCTGAGCTCACTCTAACCGAGTTGAAAATAAGATGGGATTAGATATCTTTTTGGCTACCATACATAAAAAGTGAGAGTTCGTTAGAAAAAGAAAAAAAAACAGAGAGATAAAAGGAAAGGGAGGTTGGGTGTAGATCGTACGTGGGTGTACACACGTACACGGCAAAACAAACGATTGGAAATTGGGATTCGTTTTTAATTTATAGATAGACTAGTAATATGTCCGTGCTAAACGCTACGGTGTAACTCTATTTGTCTTTAATAATTTTTAAAATTTTCATGTTAGCAAAAAAATATTACTATATGAACTATACATTTGAGCTTTAATTCAATTTACTTCGTACATTAAATATATTTAACATAAAGTATAATAATATGATATACCAATTGATGTAGATATATAATGCATATATCTGTGCCCCATGTCATAATGCATAATAATATTATATTAAAGATATATGATAATGCGCATTTCTGTGTCTTAAGTCATAATGCATAATAATATGATATATAATGCATATATCCGTGACACGCAAAATAATTTACAATAGCGTTGATATCAATATTTATTCATCTCACAAGCGTCATTTCTGTATGTGGTGTGCATGTGTGTATATATCTGCGTCATTATAATGCATCACCAGTGGGTGATATTTTTTTATATAATATAGTGCATTTTCATATTATAATTATTTTTCTATTACATGCCCATGCTAATGCTATGGGGTGACATTTGATAACTCAAATTGAAAAAGATATAACATCATAGTGACTTGTGCTCCTTCCTGTGGGGTGCACTTCTTTTTTAGGCTTTGCCAAAATCTTTGTCGTTTTTCTTGACACCCCTCTTGATAATGCAACATAAAGTTGCCCATGCGAGAATACAGGCTCTGGAAGATAGATACCGATATTCGGGATGGTTTGTCCCTGTGATTTATTAATTGTCATTGCGAAACTTAGACGTATTGGAAATTGCTTTCTCTTAAACTTGAAAGAAAGTGAAATATCATTTGAAGGAGACAGAGGGATCCTTGGCATGAACACCCTTTTTAGTGCATGATGTCCACCAACGATTTCAGTATCAATTGCATTGTCTTGGAATGCCCTGATCATTAATCTTGTTCCATTGCATAATCCATTGTTAGGATCAAGGTTGCGGAGGAGAATAGCATGGCAGTTGACCTTAACTTTTAGCTCATGTGGAGAGAGGCCATTTGGAGTTATCGTGTTAAGAAAGTCCAAAGGGTAGTTATTTTGGGAATCATCATCGACAGAATCAAAGCTATGGTAAATCTTTTCCTCACCAGGAAACCTGTCGATCATCTTCCTGTTCAGCTTATCCACGAAATCATTTTCTGTTGAGAGAATGGCCCGTGTGCTCATATATTCCGCGGAGGTTGTATATCTCTCATCATTGAGTGAGAGGAACACATATTCACATATTCAATCAGTGCGTTCACTGAATCTTCAATGTCTGCATAACCAATGACAATTTCATCAGGCAGACGGACATAATCATCTTCGATCGTGTTTTCCGTCCCATTAACACCGCTGATATCAGCACGATATGACTCGTATTGACCTCGGTTCATTGATTAATTGTAGTTGGGTCTATAAAATTTCGCTGAGTTTTCAGATTGAACATATGGGGATCTATACTAACATATAACCTTGTGGTCACCATTGTACAAGAAGAGACAAGACACTGCATGCATTTAAAAACACACACAAATTAGCTCATGTAAAGATGAAACATTTACACAGTATCATTCACTGTACACTAATCCTATCTTACTATAAAGTTATCCCCAACTAACTCCTTAAGCTTAACATGCAAAGATGCCACATTATCATCCACTAACAAGATGGTACATCATCATCCACTAACAATCATCACATTTAAACATCAAGCAAACATGCTATATCTTTATAGTTTTTATAATTTAAGAGCTTTTCAAATACAAACATGTTAAATTATTATCCAACATAATTTACATAATGTTCCAATGTATATCTTTATTATGTTTTATGATATCCTATAAACTTATATAGCTCATCCTCACTTAGTTAGTGCTTAAATGATTAATCTATGGTTCGAATTATATTTTTCAGTTTTTCCTCTAATTAAGTCATATCACAT